ATATTTTTAAAATTTTTTTTTAAATTAATTTTATTTATATATAATATATTGTAGTAAGTTTTATTTTTTAATTATATAATATAAAATTTAAGATTAAAAAATTTTATGTTTAATTTATAACAATTTTTTAAAATTTACTTTTAGCTATTTTAATCATATACAGGTCAAATATTGATTAATTGGATACCTTTCTAATTAGTTACTTTTTTTAATTAGTAATTAATAGATAAAAATCAGTAGATACTACAATTGGGTATAAATCAACTAATATCTAATTGATAATTATTAGGTAAAAATACATAAATTGGATTGCAATTCAATTTTAATAAATTTAAAAATATATGTTCAATAGTGACAAATCAGGTTTAAAGCTAACCTTGCTCATTTTAAACTAATCTACCCAAAAATAAATTTAAATAGATTTAAACATTTAGTTTAATATAAGAGGTTTAATAGTTATTATACTAAAAATCTTTTGAATTTAAAGGAAAAAATAAAGAAAAAGGAAATAATAACGACTAAATATAATTTTTTTTAATAAAATAAGTTCAGATTTTAAAATTATATATAAAATTTTTTTTTTAGATTTTCTTCCTTTTTATTGATAAACTCTCATATGATTTATATATCATTTTCAATATTTTTCATCTTTTAATAATTCTAAAAAGCTAATTTTTATAGATTTTTTTAAAATTAGAAATAAAATATAATTTTAATAGTAAAAATAAATTTCTTAAATTATATTAAAATTTCTTTATTTATAATATATAAAATAACATTGTATTCCTCTGAAACTAAATAATATTATTATAAGTAACATCACATTTATTAATTTGTAGATCATTTATTAAGAAGGGATTTTTCATATAAATACTCAGAGTTATTGCCAAATAATGATTTTCATGCTTTTTAGAATGTTAACTTCTTACTCCTATTAATTATAACAACTAAAAAAAAACATCATTCTGTTTTATTAGCAACTGGTATTATTATACCAAAACTTCATTATAGACCTTTTTCTGTAAATTGGTGATCACAAACAAGAAGTCAGTTAGTTTTACCTTTTCGTATAGGAATGAAAGTCAAAGTAATGCTTAAAAACGAAATTTATACTATTTGTATTATTAGGCAATTATACACAGATTTTAAACCAGGTTTTAGTTGTGAAGTAGATGAAATGTGTGAGGTATTTCAAACTCCTTCCGCAGTAATTAATAATATGTAAAAAAAAAAATAATAATCAAGGTACTGAATTTTCAGGTCCTTTAGTAATGGAGTTTAATAATCCTGATATTATAAAAAAATTACTTCATGATGTAGTATTTCAACCATTTACATTTGTCATAGATAAGCTTACAGTTTTTGTTTCAAAGATGGGTACAGAATGGAATAATGAATGGAATTGGGTGGATGAAGGATTTATTTCAACTTTTTCATCAAAATTTAGGTTTATGGGATGCTTATTTGTACAAAGAATCGCTAATTACCATTGTTATATAAAAATATATAGAAGTAATAAATGTGTAGCAAGATATGAAGGGAGTACACTAATAGAAATTTGGAAAAAAGTGGGTGTGATGAAGAAAATTGATAGAAAGGTATTTTATTATATTTCTCACTTTGAGATAATAAATAAATTTCAAAAATATCAATAATAATTTACCGTAAATACCTGTATGCCAAAAGATTGGAATAATTTTGAAATAATGAATAAAATATTCGAAGATTGTCTTAAAAAAAAAATTGCTACATCAGGATTAAATTGGTATTTAATCTTTGATAATTTCTCTAAACAAAAAAGCACAATCATTGAGTTATCATCATGTTTAGAGCAGATTTATATAAAGGATTACCAATTTACTTTACATGAACTTGGAGTCTGACGTATTATGTTAAAATGAGTTGGATATTATAATGTTACACCATATACAAATGGCGAATTTCTGGTAATTATAACTTAAAGAATTATATACTTTTTAAGTTTATTATTAGTATAACTGATTTATATTTTTATTTATAGTATGAATATTGGAGTAAAGCAAAAGATCTGATATCTGATTATGAAACTTTATCAAATTTATATCAAATGGGTTTAGTGAAAAGTTTAATATTAGATTTAACTGTTAGTAAATTTTGGAAGTACTTTAGTAATACAATAGAAATAAATAAAAGAGGTGATAATGGTAAAAGACGAATTTTATCAGTAATTGCAGATAATTTTAAATATGAAAATTTGGAAAAGGAATTGAAGATGTTTTGTTATTAAATTTATTTTAAAAAAAAGTTTTTTTATAATATTTATTTATTTAGCTACATTTTATATTAGGTGTTACGTAAATTAATTACAGCTGCAAAAATATTTAGTCATATTAATGGACCAGATGGATTAGCCTTTCCCAAACTAGCTTTTAAACGAGTAAATATGACTCTTGGTAAAGAAAAGCAATTTGAAGCATTTTTTGCTAACAAAGCAAATGTAAATATGAGTTCTTATAAAGTAGATCCTAAAACAAATATGCTAATATTATATTTGAAAAATCAAAATCAGAATTGTGAAAAAAATTCTCACAAGAATATCCCGATGGTATAAAAAAACATTATTTATGACTAGATTAGCAGATTGACCATTTAGATATAGGAATGATCTTGGTGGATTATGTTCTATATGTAATGAATATAGATATCAAGTTTTTGAGGATCTTTTAATTTTAATATCAGAATCATTTTCACTTTCTTCTTTGTTTATTTCTTCAAACTTTTTAGGATTGAAATGAGACCTAGCATTATCAATCAAAAGTAAAATTTTTTTATCTAGTATGCGAAAATAATAATCAAGATCATGCAACCACTCAATAAAAATATCTGATCTCATTTATGCTTTAAAATTAGCCTTATAAGTCACTGGTAATGCTGATCTATTAAAATTTTTAAAACATCAGAGATTTAATGATTTTTCAATAACAAGAGGACAAATTTTATGAGTTCCTATAGCATTTGCACAAAAAAGAATTTATATTCGATTTTTATCCTATAAAATAAAATAAAGTAAAATAAATTAATTAAATAATTAATAATTATATAACAAAATA